ACACTGAATGAATGAATGCATTCATTAAGGGAGAGAAGGCAGAAGGGAGTGGTTGCATGGGAGAGTTGAGGAAGTAAAAGAATTGAGGGATTAAATATAGAGATGAGAGAGAGAGAAAGTGGACAGAGGGGAAGAGAGAGAGAGGAAGACAGCCATCCAGACACTGGGGAGAGAACTGGAACTGGTGGAGGAGAAACAAATCTTGAAAACAAGCTGAGACAACCACACAGTAGGGAGACAACCACACAGTAGGGAGACTCCAGAGAAGAATGACTCTCTCCTTCTTTAATGGTTCTCAAGCACTGTTCCCAACAGTTTTTATCATGTATTCTCTTGTGCTTGTTAATGGTCTATGTACATAGGTCCTACCTCTCGTATAAAGCTGCAGCTTGAAGGAGCTTCTAAAGAAGTTTATAGTTTTTTAATGTTCTAAATAGCATCTAGCACAGTGCTGTGCATACAGAGGACACTCAATAAATACTTGTTGGGATGATCTAAAGAGTGAGTCAAAGTGAGGTTCAGATTCAGAGATGAGTATTAGCTGGAAGGAAAATCGGTAGTATTGACACACTTAGGCAACAGAGTTGCCACTGCACATTGAAAACAGAATGATCCTTTCTATACCAGAGAAAAACCAGTCTTTCTTTTTATTTTCAAATGTAAGTTTGAAAATGTTAATTCTTTCATTCTTTCAAGACCTTTTAAAGTTTTCACGTATCTTAAAGAATGGCTCTAGTTTTGGAATTTGGAATCTCAATGATACTGCTTAATTTACTGGCTATTCATGAAAATTTCTTTGATATTTAAAAATTTTCAGACTGCTTTGTATCTTTATCCCTGAGAAATTAGGGTTGCTTTATTATGGAATCCTGAAAAGTTACATTTTAGAAAGAGAACTCAGTTCTAAGCACTTTACAAAATCCAATTCAAATCCATTTGTTATAGTCTATTTCAGAGGCTTTAAATCCTCCCTTCCTCCTTCCCTCCCTTCCCCTTCCTCCCTTTTTCTTCCTTTCTCCCTCTCTCTCTCTCTCTCTCTCTCTCTCCCTCTCCCTCCCTTCCTTCCTTTTTTTGTTTTGAGGTACGCAGGCCTCTCACTCTTGTGGCTTCTCCCGTTGCAGAGCACAGGCTCCAGACTCACAGGCTCAGCGGCCATGGCTCACAGGCCCAGCCGCTCCGCCCGGGCACGAACCCGTGTCCCCTGCAGTGGCAGGCGGACTCTCAACCACTGCGCCACCAGGGATGCCCTTTCCTTCCTAACATTTTTTCTTTTCTTTCCCTTCCTCCCTCCCTGCCTTCTTCCTTTCCCTCCTTCTCTCCTTCCTTCCTTTCTTTTGGCCCAAGGGTTCCAAAGAGGGGGCTTCAGGTCAGAGTAGGAGGTGTCAGAGACCTGCCAGTAGTCAGGCTCTGGGCTGGGACATCTCCACCTCAATAACAGCAGTCTGCTTTTATTTGCATGACATTTCTTTTGGAAAAATTCGAAAACCATGGTTAAGAGGTGACAATATAGAATGAGAACAGTAATAAAAAGCTCTTAAAGAACTGGTAACATTTATCCCCTGCTTTTCATCTGCTCTTTAGAGGCTGCTCCATAAATTGAGCTGGGGAGTCACTTGAACATGGGACAGTGATAAGGACTGGATAGAGTCTTATCCCTCATCCATCCACCTTTACCACCCTTTCCTATTTATATTCCATGCTAATAGGGTCACCAATGGGCGTAGGGACTCAGATCCATTTAAAATATTTAATTTTGTAAGGGAATTTCTGGGAATACTGCTCTAGAAATGGATTTTCTTTACATCTGGATTTTAGAGTTTAGGAAAGAATCCTATCTTCTTTTTCAAAAAGAGACTGAAAGCGCAAGGTATAAGGATGGGGAGTTAGACTTATCAGAGGACAGGACAAGTGGGGAGGAGTTGCTGAGACCGAATATGAGGCCCATTTGTTATTTCAGCTTCTTTGAGGATGAAGGTTTAAAGAGAGAAGAGAATTCACAGAGAGGGTAATTTCCAATCAAGCAATGGTGAGAACCAGAGGTCCCAGGTGAAAATGTGGGTGTTCTAACAGTTGGGCTGAGCCCAGTAATGGGACATCTCAATTGATGCTTGTAAGGTTAGACAGGTGGGCAGGCAGTGGCATCTAGAAGGTCCACCAATGGGGTCCTTAGCCAGTATACTAATGTTTAGGGGCAGAGCGTTTGGCTCTGAGACTGGAAAGACCTAGGCAGGATTTTAGTTCTTCTGTAATTAATTGGAGCATTGGCAGCTTATTGGTGTGGGTTCCTAAAATGGAGAACAAAACAAAATTCTCATCCTATAAACTGGGGCACATGGGAAAACTGGGTCTTTGGAGCTTGAGGGCAAGGACCTCATTATCAGAATAGAGAAGTAGACAGGGGGTTGCACTGCACCAGAGGGATTTGGGAGCTGGGTAGTAAGCACTACGATCCCACGTCAGGGATCATCAAACTGGGAGAATGATTCTAGTGGAGAGATCATGGGTCAAGACATGAGGGAAAGCAAAGTCATGTAAAATGAGGCTGGGGTAAAGAGTGTTGAGAAAAGTCAAAGGTATGCTGTCACTTTAGGGTTTTTTTTTCACAACAGATAACGGTCATACATTCTTGAACCTAAAGACAAGAGCTAAGTAATTCTATTGGTTGTTTAAATCTGGCAAAAGAATAACTAAATAATTTGAACTCTAAGACATGTGGCCTACTACTAATCTCTGACAAAAACTGTAAACAGAGAAGGGAGTTGCTATAAACATAGCTAGCTGATTCTTTTGGTGCATATTTTTAGTTAAGTAAACTGATGGTCTTTGGTCACGTCCTTACATTTTATTTTGCAGTCCTCGCAGGTGCTGGAGTTGGTGTCTAGAGGGATGCACTCCAACTAAAGGTTATTGAAAGAGTTGGGCTTTTAGCCTCATAAAGACCTGGGAAGACAGTTCAGAGAAGGAGCACTGGGAAGTGTGAAGAGGGCTTTGCATTTTATTTTCCGTATAATAGTCCTTGGATACAAATCCTTTTATTTTTATTTGTCAGCACTGAGAGTTTGCTTTAGTTTGGTAGTACAAATAATTCAAAGGTTGGTGTTAGCAATCCTTGGATTCTAAAAATACCTATATGTTTTTGGCATATAGAAATCAGAGCTTTTTAAGACTGGAAGGGATTTTAAGATCATCAAAATTAAATTGCTTCATTTTACAATTGAGAACACTGAGGCCTGTAAAAGTTATGTGACTTGCTTAATGCTGGACATGAATGGTTGGGCCAGGACTAGAAACGATGAAATGGATTTCTAGTCCACTATTTCCATTACCATGCCTCTGCTATCTCAGATAACAACACAAGCTTTTAAATCAACAACTTTATTTATTTATTTATTAACAACAATTTTAATCTGAATTTGTTCTGATTTTCAAAGCAATTTATTATTTCCTATGAGAATTTATAATGGGCATTTCAGTGATGCTGATAGTTTGTACAAGCTCAAAATGTATCCATCAAGTTTCCTATTTTTATCTTTGATTGGTAATGATGAGTTCTGTTTATTTTTAAATACATTTTAAAATGTATTTGCTGAGTTCTGTTGAAATGAGATTTATTTTTTTTTAAATTTTCAATTGTCATGGTGGAAAAGAGATCCCTTGGATTTTTATGTTTTAGGGCAAGCATTTGACTAATCAACTTGAAAACTCTATTAAATATTTTTTCCTTTACCCAAGAGGCAGACAAGGAAAGGGAATTCTGGTCTTTTTTCATCTTGGTCAAATTCTTGTGCTAATTTCTCTGTGATTTCTGCTATGCATTGTGAACTATGACCATATATGAAAATAATCTGTTTTAGGTCATGGCTGTGGGCAAAGATTAATTGGTGAAAAATGGGCCTGTTTGTGGGATTTACCACACAGTAAGTTTTCAGATCTCCCTGGAAAAATGTGGAATTAGGTCTTTGAGAAATGAAGTTCTGTCATGAGGTTGAAGGGAGAGTTTTGGTGGAGGGAAACACAGTTCACTCTCTAAGGCGTTATGATTGGTTAGATTCCAGAGCAGTCCCTTCGGTACAGCAAAGTTCTTCCCGCTTTCAAGTCAGCGCTTCCCACACGTAGCTAGTTTCACCAGTAATTCACAGATAGCATCTTGGCTTCTTTCATGGCCAACTGATCCAAACTGGGCAATGGTCTTGGAGAGAACTCCTAATCCGCCCATTCCCCATCTCTAGAACATGTAGTTACAGTGAAAAAGCCTTCCATGGGAAAAGAACTTTTCGACAGCAGATTTTCTATGCTCCTTGAGACGGATGCAGATGTCAACCAGTGCGTATGTTTGGCAAGGACGCAGAGAGGATGGAACGGTAGTTCCTCCCCTATGAAGATGGTTCTTGAGGAAGACAATCTCGGTAGTATCTACTAGGATCTACTAGGAGAGCGCTCCACGTGCATGCTCCTCCCTAAAAGCCACTGCAAGGGCCTGTTGCGTGGCCCAAGAATCCACGTTGCTGTTGAGGTCAGACCTAGCCACAGTGATCAAGGTTTCTTCCCCATGACCTTGGTGGTGGCTGGCCCTTTACCAGGTCACAGCTCGGCTCGGACAGTCCAAGGGTCCACCCTAAACTGGGATGAGGGTAGAGGCAGGACCCGCCGCCTCCCCCCCTCAACTCGGTTTCTCTACTAGACACTC